TGTGTGTGTGTGTGTGTGTGTGTGTGTGTGTGTGTGTGTGTGTGTGTGTGTGTTTGTGTGTGTGTGTGTGTGTGTGTAAGTGCCTTTTTATTTATTCTTTCAAATTAATTACTATTTCGTGTTTTTTTTTGGGGGGGGAGGGGGTGACAAGAGAAATGGGGGACAACTTTTTAAAAGCGTTTCTTTTAAAATTACGTCTTATAACTTAACCTAATTTGCATTCTAGAAAAAACGGGATGAGAGCACATGAAGACAAAAGATAGCTATGCGTGACCTCCAGTGACAAGGCATGAAGAGGCGGATTTATCTTTACTTACCTAACACTTCCAACCCGGTTATTGAGGTTAGGTACAGTTGGGTTGTTTTTTGTTTGTTTGTTGTAGTTATTTTGTTGGGGGGGGGTTGGGGGATTGTTGTTATTGTTGTTTTGTTGTTGTATGGGTGTGTGTGGGGGGGGGGGGTTACCTCCTGCTACTTTTCATGGTGTAGAAATAGTTTTGTGAGAGGCGGGGAAGGGAAGGTGGGGAAGGGGATTTTAGATTTATCTAAACTTTAACCCGAACAGGTAAATGTCTGTAGTCATGCGATGTTATGATACATGTGGAGCGTGTGAGCCTGGTGTTATTTGTATGTATGCAACATGTAACGGGTTCTGCTGGATGAAACATTATTAATATTTAGAAATTCAGATCGAATGCTAGAGAAGCAGGTTTTTTTTTAAATGCTATTCAATGGTTGTGACATTCTCTTCCAATTTTCTTTTTCCTATTTTTTACCATTGTCCACTAAAGTACCCAGCAAAAAGTATTCGTGGACATCGCTATAGGACAGGGGTTACCAGTCTACGGCCCATGGGCCAGGTTCGGCCAGGAAAGTTAGTTCATTTGGCCTTCTGCCATGTTACCATGCTCAGGACTGACTCACTCAAATAATTAGCCTTTTCGCTGAACTTTACGGTGTGAATTAAACATACCGTTATAACTTCTACCCTTTACTCAATTTTTTGGGGGGGGTTTTGTGTGCCTTTTGAAATGTTCTTTATTGAATAATCAATAAGTAAGGTGTTTTGTTTTCTTGATGTATTTAGTGTGTATCACTGAAAAAAATAGTCATCCAGCCCACACTCGACGTTCTCTTAGTTACTCGTCCTACTTTCAAAAAAAAAAAGAGAAAGTTTGGTGACCCCTGCGTTATGCTATATCCATAGATACGCCACAAGAGTGCTCTACTTCATATATTGTGACGGTTTGGATTTTGGCCTTTGGGGGTATAATACTAATTCAAAAGTACTTGACTAGACTCTTGGAGAAGGCGGTTTTGGGCGTGACAAAGTGACCTACATTATAGGATTAGTGGGATGAAGATCTTATTACCCATAATAAAAAAGTTTGTCGTGTCTTAAGGTGCGACTGGTCCTGTACCCGAACAGGGGAGACAAATTAAAGAGCGTGTTGAGAAGCGGCACTATGAGCGTCATCATCGTCGCCCGCACTCATCTGTCGCTCCTTGGAGGTACAATGTACAGCACAACGCTGCCATCCGAAGTCACGACCAGCCCCGAGCTCTGACGTCACAACGCTGTCATTAACGCTGGCTGGGCAAACGGGGATTTGAGCAAGGGGCGGACCTGCGACAAACGACTAGCAACTAATATCCGTTCACAAACGTTAAACATGTCTCTGCTAACTACAGCACATCCTATTTTTATGTGCCTTTTTCTGGTCGTTCTGTTTTTACTCTCAAAGAGTATTTCGTATGCGAGTAGATCTATTTGTTATCTCGAAATTCCGGTGGCATATCCGCCCACCGTTCATGTCACACATTGTGCTCCTGATAGAAGTGTCATATACCAAAAATTAGAGCGGGGATAACAAGTGGCTAGTATTAGTAGAACCTAAGAAGTGTAGTGATAGAACAGGCTCCTTTTGTTGTCACGCAGACTAGGAATTAAGAGTTATGAGGAGAAGAGGAGGACCAAAAGGTGTTGCGGCGTCGGTTGTGAACGTCACAAAGTCCCACACATAATGCCGGTGCGGTTTATTGCTACGCTAGAAATGCACCTTGGCATTTTAGCAGGGCCAGAAACAATGCACTTCCTTTGTGGCGATTACTTTCTCAGACATAAGACGGGGTTCGTTTTCTACCTTTCATCCCTCCCTCCCCACTGATCTCTCTGTGCGCACACGCTTATGTATGTCTACATATTATGTACGTATCTAGTGTGTGTATAAGTGTTCATGTTTGCCTGTGTGGATGAGTGGGTTGCTTTCTTGCCATTAAAAAATCCCCAACACAGACAGTGAAAGGTAGAGAGACAACGATTGAAAAAGAAATAACAAATACAAAACCTACGCATAAGAATAAATCATACAGTACAAATACGTACAACATGATTTGTAGATATATCTAGGTGTGGTTTGGATTTTATTTTCAATAAGTAGTTGTTCCACCTCTGTGATCGTTTTTTGTGTGATGATCGTCTGTAGTAGAGAAAACAATCGGCTCTCTATTTGGTGCAAAGGAAAAGAAAGAGTAATTGACTGCCAGTCCATGCATTGATGAGCAAGAATATTTTTTTTTTTTAATAAGAACGTATCTGTTCGTGTCCACAATACCGTACTTTTCTGTCAACATGAAAGGATTCCATTGTTTTATTGTTTTAGATCTAGTTGTTTTGGTTTCAAACTTCCCATTCGAGCCACATATTTCTCATGGATACACTATCTCTTCATCTTTACCATCATCATTGAGGTGTGTGTATGTTTGCGTGTGTGCGTGTGTGTGTGTGTGTGTGTGTGTGTGCGCGCGTTTATGTGTATGTGTGTGTGCGTGCGTA